AGGGATACGGTGGTTCTGCCAGGGCCGTCAATCCACCTGGTTGTCGTTGAGCAAAGTCTACAGCGAGAAAGTTTAGCATTGGGAACGCATTGTCTTGATGGCCAGCCTGCTTTCTTCCGCTGCAATTGGCGTGCGCTGATTCGCTTGCCAAACGAAGATGGGGTCAAAAGTTCAGCAAAACACCTCCAACTTTCTGTGAATGATACTTAGAGGCAAACGTGTTAAGCATCCACAGGCCCCTCTTCCATGTCAATTGTCAAAACCACATGTGCACGGGATTTCGCTCAGCTTATTCATTCTCTCGCTTGCGCAAAGGCAATGATGAAGTTCGTTTGGGTTCATTTGACCCAGTAGCGCCCCTTCGAGGTTCGAAGCCGCTTCGACTGCGTTACTGTTTTGTCGGACCCGTTCAAATCGTTTGTCTCCTCCATTGTGTTGCTTTTATGGCGCTGCTTTTTTGGGGTTTCCAGCGTCCACTTCCATCCTTGGGCCGTTCGAGACCTGATACCGTCTCTTTTGACACAATCTGAGGGTGTTGCTTAAAAGGAATTGAGCCAACACCGTTTGCAAGGCAATCTTGAGAAGTGACGCTGAGAATTTTCGTCAACAGCAATACCTAAACCCGTTAGCATCTCCATGCTGTGTCACTGTTTCAGCAGCACATACGTTTGTTAACGAAGCTGTCGTTTCTTTCTGTCCAGGCGAAAGGCGGGTCCGAGGGGAGGGGGAGGTGGACGAAGCCGCCGAAGAGGAGAGCGCGCCACGTGGCAGGCGGGTGCTGAACGAAGGGCAGGCGCCCAACGGAGAGGCGGCCGAGGAGTCGGATGACGAAGCTGCTGACGTCACTGGCGAGGGCGAGGAGGGATCCCCCGACGAAGAGAAGGCTGAAAAGTTGGGGGACGCGTCGAATGAGGTGGATGGAGAACTAGAGATGAAGGAAAATGAGTCGGAGGACGAGGACAAAGAACTAGAGGCAGAGGAAGAAGGAGCAGAGATATTAGATACGGAAGCGGCGGTTAGATGGGCGAATGCAAACGAAGAGAAGAGAGGTGCTGGGGACGCGGATGGGGACGGGGTTGGAAGCGGTGAAGAGACGAGTGCGTTGGATGAGTTGCTGGACGATGCGCTTGCAATGGGCCGAACGGACAGCCGAAAGACTAGGGGGAGCGAGGAACCAACTTCGGAAGCTAGGGGCGGAGAAGCGAAGGGGGCGCCCAAGACGGGGAAGCGGTACTTGTCGAAAGCAGAGAGGCGGAAGATGAAGAAAGGTCAGGTGGGCGACGGAAACGTGGGTGCAGAGACCGCTGACAATGAGGACGCAGGCAAGGGAGCGGAAACGGAACAGGCAGCTTCGGACGTGACGGAAGAAAGTGTAGCTCCGCACCAGCGAATGGATGGGGCAGCGGGGCTACGGGAGGGAGAAACGGAGAAAGAAGGCGACGATGAAGGCGGCTCAGTGAGCGAAAAAGAGGGTGACACAGTGATCGCTTTGCGTAAGGAGAGTGGGAAAGAAGCACAAAATGAGAGCGGGGAGAAAGTCGGGGGCCAGGGGCAGAAGGCGCGGGCGACGGCTGCAAAAGGTTCACGGCCAATGGAGGAGCCGACACGTGGCACTCAGGGCAAAGAGGAGCTGACACGTGGCAAGCGGGCGAAGCTCAAGAAGGCCCGGGACAAGTACGCGGAGCAGGACGAAGAGGAACGGGAGATCCGGATGGCGCTGCTCGCTTCCGCCGGAAAAAGCGACAAAGGTACCGGAAAGGGGGGCAAGAAAGGCGGAAAAGACGCCCGGGGGAAAGGGGGTGAGCCGGAGAAAATGAAAAGGGAGAGCGCGGGGCCTGTGCAAGACGAGCGGAAGGTGTGCTACAAGTGCAAACAGGCGGGACACGTGGCAAAGGATTGTCCGACGGGCGAAGTAAGTGGTGCGGCGCTTAGCGGGACCGCGGATAGTGCTACCGCCGAACCTGCAAATGGCAAAGCTGGAAGGATTGGTCAATCTGAGGGGGATAAGCGCGAGGCCGAAGGTCCTGAAGGGGCCCGGGCGACAGACGAGGTTTCGGCGGAGAAGGGGTCGGATGGTACACAGCTGAGCAGGCGGGCACGCGCACGGGCGCAGAACGAGGGGGAGAGGGCGGAGATTGCGGCGATACTGGAGGAGGAAAATTTGCAGGTTGGTACATGCTTACGGTCTTCTACATTGAGCGGACAAGTGGTGGCCATCGCTCAGTTCGTTTCCGTTTTGCTGCATAGGGGTACTCATAGCGTCTCCCTTTCGTTTTGTGGTTCCTTTCCCGCTTCCTGTCACGAATTTCATAGCGCTCGGTTGTCTCCTCTGTGTTGGATCGCTTCGGACGGTTGTCTGAGATGACTCGCTACTGGGATCAAAACGGTTTTCATCAGCTTGTTGACGCTTCGCCACCCTCTGGTTTGCAAGACCCAAAATAGAAATGGTGTTGAAACCTGGGTCAAGGCAACTGTCCAATTTGATCATAAACATGGTGCGCTGGACTTATGGCTGCGCAGGCTCTTTGAGTCGTTGTTGCAGTTGGCAATACACTCAAAAAACTGCTTCAAGTCCTCCTGAGCCTCGCGGACAGACTTATTTTATCGACGCGCTGTTATTCGCTATAGCAACGGCGACCAAACTGCATATCACTCACTCTTCGATGTCGCCGACTTTATGCAGGAGCTGCCGGACGAGGCGCGCAATCATTGACGGAGCTGGACGAGCTGAAACAGACGGCAACCAAAATTGCCCACTACTTGGTCTTATTTTTCGCCCACTTTGTGCAGGAGCTGCCGGACGAGGAGCGCGACCGGTTGACTGAGCTGGACGCGCTGACGGGCGTGCCCCGGGCGGACGACATTCTGCTGTATGCGGTGCCCATGTGCGGGCCGTACACGGCGCTCCAGGGGTGCAAGTTCAAGGTCAAGCTCACGCCGGGGACTGCCAAGAAGGGCAAGGCGGCGAAAACTGCAGTTGAGGTGAGCGGTTGAGGGTGGTGGAAACAGATTTGCTGTTTGGTTAGAAAAGAGAGCGGTCACGCGAGCGCTCTGCTGACGTGAGCGTGTGAATGGGTTCAAGTTGGATTCTCGCGTTCTGGATTGTTACTTTCAGCCCTTTTGAACTCGTTATTTCCCCGGTCTTTGTTCAGAGCCTGATAAGTGTGTTTGTATGACTCCTGTCTGGGATCTAGCACCAGGTCGACTACACCCCAGTCCAAGACCGCTCTTGTGCTACCTATTCTGACTGCCACGTCAGCCCTTTAAGCCCGTAGAAACGCTTACTTCATTCCCCGTGCAGGTGTTTTCGCGGATGCCCGAAGCGACTCGGCGCGAGAAGGAGCTGATGAAGGCGGTGCAGGACCCCGACCTAGTTGCGGTCATGCTGGGGAACGCCAAAGTGACAGCCCCGGGCCTGACCAAGATGAAGCAGACGCAGAAGAAGGGCCGCAAGGCCTCAGCGCAGAAACAGTAGCAAAAACTTGCTGATTGCTGAAAGGGAGTGGTGCAAGTCAAAAGGATTGATGCTTCGCTATGGTGGATTGGTTCTTTGAAAAAAACAACGTGCTCAGTTCACTTTCGGCAACTCGTCCAAGAGCCCTTCGGATTCCTGGTAATTTCCGCGAGAATATTCAAAGCCCTTTCGGGTGCATGCTCGCCTGTTCGCTCCATGGGACTTGGGACGGAGCAACGGCAGCGAAATGGCTATTCCATAATAGTTTTTGACAGAGCTCCTTCGTTGTCTCCTTCTTATGCCACGTCACTTGCATATTGTCAAAGCAACGAATTAACCTGGTGACATTTTAAGTGCTACTGGTCACCAAAGACAAATTTGGGGCCAATGACAGGGGTGCCGCCGGCTGCCGAAGCATGGCAGATCAGGATCGTAGACGCTCTTGGATGGCTCTTACATGGCTCTTTGTACATTGCCTGTTGGCGCCTTCCTGCTAGAAGTTGCAAGCGCGGGTCAAGCGAAGGGCGTTCTGTACGATATCTCTCCAATTTCAGATGAAAGACGGTGCGGAGATGGGCACTAGCTGACGTTGTGTGAGCTGCTCGCACACGACGTTATCGGATGCACTGTCTGCTTGGTGGAATATGATCTAGCGAGTTCATTTTGACTTGATGTCTCTGCTTGTCCGGCCCTGCCTGATCTCAAAGAAACATAACTACGCTTCAGTTCGTCAACCTGAATCACTGGGCTTTAGTGCTAATTTCGGGTCAGACTAACTCACCATTTGGAACGCGATACTCAGGCCGCCAGCCCAAGATTTCCGCGTGTTTCTGAATCTGGCTAAGAAAAGCGAATCGACACGAAAGCTCTTGAGAAGCTTGGGAAGCTCAATGGGCAGCTAATTTCTGCCAAAGCCACCAGCACGAGTGTATGATTCACTTCAAAGGGGAGCATTTGCCTGTATTTCTGACAACCATACAGGTCCAAGATCCTTCTGTAAGGTTCGAGTAATTGCGTACTTCTATAGAGAGGTTCGCAGCTTCAAACTGCCACCCATTAATTGCTTCTTTCTTTCATTGCACCTTCTGCATGTGGGCGTCATGAAATCTGGTTGGAATTTGCAAACGAGACCCGCCCAGTTTCCTTCAACTTCACGACATCAACTGAATCCGGCAAACATTGCTTCAGCCCCGTACTGACCATGCGGACTCATTGTGTGAGTTGCACTCTTTCCGAGTCGCTCAGCAAAGATCATTTCGGATCGACCGAAAACTTCTCTGACGTCGGCGACCTTAATCAATCAACCTGAGCTGGTAAGTTTCGAAGATGTTCTTATATTTGCAGATCCACTTTCTCAAGCTGTGTGTCGTGTGTCTTATCAAAGTCCTCATCAATGAGACGTACACTAATCAAGTAAACGCGCCCTGGTATATTATCTGGTTACCCCCCCGTCTCTTGTGTGCACGTAATAACGTAAGGCACAAAGAAAAGCCGGTATCCGAGCTTCCGACGACCATCCGAGCAAGGCATGCGTGCTTAGCTGAGACAGCAGCGAGCGGGCCATGAGTCCGGCTGCTCCGATGCAGAATGTCGAGCTTTGCTGCCAACCACGCGTGTCTTCTGTTGGCAATCTAACTTAAAGGATCAAAAGAATATAGAGCTGAAAACGAGACGCTTCTCAAGAAAGGTCACTTCAGAGGCCTGCTCTTAAAAGCTGTGTCTGAGCTTGAAGCGAATAAAAGCTTGGTATGTGAGGAGGCTATTGAGACAATAGCGGGTTTACACGATATTGGCTGTGACGAGGCCAAAGTTGTTCAATTGACACCCCAACTTCCTGTGTGCCGGCCGAAGCCAATGCAACTATTGGAGGTTGACGTTTCCAAGGCTCAAGGCCTTGAGTGACAAAAACGCGGTAAAATGGTCTCTGGTCAGCTTAGTGACCGAGTCGACTCTCTAGATACTTCGATTGCATGCAGATTATGATGCACATTTTCGATGAGGTCTGGTAGCCGACCTTGGAGTTGAACATATACCACTTTCACTGTGAGTCGGATGCTGCTAGCAATGAATGCGGTCGATCTCCCAAGCGCCTGCGGAATTGATCAATCCCGCTCTTAACGAAAAGCTCCAACTGGACTTTCAAAGTGTGGGGGGTGATGTATCCACACTTGGATTGTCTCGATCCTAAAGCGCTGTTTTGCAATCATCACTGCTGCGTCTTATCTGGATATTTTGTACGACCTGTTTATCGGATCCACGCCCATTGCCTCTCGCTTCTTTCAGCCCATCAATGAGACTTTGAAAGACCTTTCAATGATCGAGTCAGATGACTTCCCGCTTGTTTTCTACAAGAGACGAGCTCGTTAGACTTTCTTATCCTGGCTTTGCGCAAGTTTGATCGGGCAGGGGCTTGAGCATATGTAGGATGTCAGCTGATGCAAGGAATAATATTTGTTAGGATTTTTGATGCGGCGTCCAGTAGAATTCCCCTGTCGTGCAAGCCTCAATTGCAGTCGAAGGTTAGTAACATTTTGCATTATATAGATTTTTCTCGGGCTGTAGCTGTGAAAAATAGACGACTCGTGGGCTGCACTTCAGCAGTGCATTGCGAGGGCAATGGTTTTTGAGCTGCCCTGTTTGACCAAGTCGTAGGTTCAACCTGCAGTGCCCTTAACCAAGTTGCCCAGTTATTCGATGCCAGCCTCTGCTGAAAGGCAGGCGATGCACTCACCAATGCTTGATTTTTCTGCAAATGCACGGAGCCCGACCGCTCCTCTCGACCCCTCTTGGCTTAATTTCCTTTCCTCCCGTTTGATTATCCGCGCACTCTGGTAGCACCTACTTTTAGCTCGTCTTGGGACATGGCGATCGTTCTAGAGTTTTCGACTATAGTGTGGTTGAAGGGAAGTACTTCATCAAGACTGCTTGGGTTTTGGCACTACTCATCGGAGTCCGGACTGGCCAACATGCTTTCAAGGCCAGTCCTCATGCTAAGGGGGGCCCGGAACGACGGCAAAGGATCCTGAACATCTGTACCGGTCTTGCCTTGGAGATACACGAGTACAGTGGAAGCTCGTCCTGATTCCTTACCAAGACGATTTTTGTTCCCTTCACAATCTTACATCCGTTGTTCCTGTGCTCGTGTTGTGTTTTCGAAGCGAGCCAAAGCCCGCGTGCGGGCATTGCTTTGACGAGGTTGATTTCTTTCTGTTTATCTTCAACGACTCCTTTCGGTCTGTAAACGCCACTCGGTGAGCAAAGACGAAGCAGCGAGCTGCCACTTGAGCAGGCCTGGTTCCTTGTAAGCGGACGCCCTGTCGGAGGTGATCATCGTAGGGTCTCCTCGTCTGTGCGACGTTTATAATAAGCATCGTATGCTGAATGCTGTCTGGGAATTTGTGAGTACCTGTCGTTACCCTACCTTCGGCAGCAGCTACAAAGGCCGCGCTACCCACTGGCAGGCGCTAATTCATTCTCGTGCGAGTTTTGGCAGTAGGCCTGATTTCAAATTGCGCTTCATTCCGGATTCCTTGTTCTCCCGGCAAAGATGTGCGTCAAAAGGGGAGTCGACGAGCACATTGCGAGAAGGTTCAGGTCGGCAGTCTGGTATGTTTCACTTTGTTTCTTTGTCCAGTCAGGCTTCAATGAATAGTAAAAGTCAGGACTTTGGAGTGTGTGGCAACGAGAATCGAAGCGCAATTGGACATATCTGCTTCAAAGCAAGCTCAGGGGTCCCTTGAGCCCCTTCCATATGTGTCAAGTTCTCGTCAAAGCTTCCTTACATGTTGACACGGACTCGCTGGCGCGGGCCAACTGCAATGAAGATCCTCTATCTTCTGCGATTTATCGAGCGGATTCCGTCGACTCACAAAACTCATCTTTGACGGCCGTGACTTGAAAGCTGGCCGGTGTCTGCTTTTGTAAGCTGCTGTCTTCCTTTCTTTGAAGTGCGATGGTTGGGAGCTCGCTCGCGCGACGCGGCGGAATGCTCTGGTGGAGACACGTGGCCGTACACTCAAGCTCCGTGGTTTTCACGTTGGTCGCCTTCGCTTCGCTGGTACATACGGCCCACGGAATGCTCATGCTACGCCTACTTTGCTTAAGCCGTCTTGAGCCGCCTACCATGCAAAGCAGGGTCATCAGCTCGGCTTTGCATCACGGTATTAGCTTCTCTGGCGATCTCTTTTCTTCTCACCCTGACTCCGATGCCAATTGAGAGATTTTTGGTCACCTGCAAGGGGAATGTTTCGAGATCTGGGCACTCCAGGAAGCCTCGTCACCGAGATGCTGTGTCGCACTGACTGTATCGTGCCTGGCCTGGCGCACGCAGAAGTGGAACAATGATTAAAGTCGTTCCAAAGTTCTGGCCCTCGGCATTTGCGGCATATTGTATTCCGGTCTTCTGTTCTGTGTTTGGATGATTGTATCTTTCTTCTCCAGCCCTGAAAAGTTGACGCTCAAGATTCAACAACCACAATGGCCGGCTCTGAGGATTCGATGTTCTGGGCTGTTCGCTGGCAGCGCAACCACCTTATGTGCGTACGACTTCTGACGCCACCATCTTTGTTAGATAGCTTTTCAAGGGTCGAGGTTACAATCGACAAGCGAGAGCTATTGTAGTACCTTAGACAGACCGTACAAGGGTTGGGGTAACATGTGAAGGGCCCCATACTTTTAGAAAGCATGGAACCCCCTTCTTATATTTCTGAATCCAGAGAGCAGTCAAGAACTGAGAGTTTCTCCATTCAAAATCGCCAGCGTGTTGCTCCGATTTGCCGACATTCTGACTTGTTGCCTTTTGCGTGGCCGTACCCGCATTTCCTAGAAATCGCTCTGCGCTTCAGCAGCAAGCGAGTCGCAGGACGTGACGAAACGACAGATCGATGGCTGCTTCGGGCAATCGCTCAATTCCGGTCGATCTTCGAAGCCGCAAATGTCATCGTTATCCAGTACAGTTCTGTGCCTTGAGAGTTGGTAAAGAGCCCGGTTGAAATGAAATTCGAACGTCGATTGCACGTCACAAAGAAGGTTTCTCGACCCGGGATGCTAACGCAACTCAAAATTGTATATCATCCACGCTACAAAGCTTTTAATGGTTGACTACTGCGCGTCGCTCATGGCATCAATCCTCGACGTAGAGTCCCGAGTCTCGTTTTGGGATCTTTCGTCGGCTAGCTTTCAGCGCCCTTAACACTGGAAGCAGAGTTGGGCCGTTTGGAAGCTGTTGGCTTCTTCGCAACTTGCTTGAAGCACTAAGAAGCGCGTGAAATTAC